CGCTGCCTGCCATCAAGATTTTCCATTCTATATTACACTCAAGCTTAATCACACTCTTCCTTTATGTTATTTAAAGTAATTGAAGACAATAGGATTATTAAACATGAGTAGTAACTTGGCACCGCCGCACGCATTGCTCGGTCAGGGAAGACCTAAATCTGACGCGCTATTGGCTGCCTGATTCCGCACCTGCCTTGCTATTGGCTGCTGCCGGAGGCGCGGTCGCGCTGCATTGTGCTAGTTCTCGTCGATATGCCCGACTTACGCTCAGCATGTGGCAGATGCATTAAATATATTTTATTAATTAATTGTTCATATAAAATGAGTTTTTATCCAGTGTTAATAATTAAAAAATCAGTAACTTCTATATATCTGAAATACTGCAGTTGACGGCTTAAGGTTCTAAGTACTGAAAATTGGTCAAACGGATTAGCAGGTGCTGTAATTCTTCTAAATTAATTCTGTATGTACAAAAATATTTAATTCATCGTATATTATGCATGGCTTCCTAAAGATTTGCTCACTGTTGTTATTTTTGTCAGCTCTTTCTATTTGATGTTATCTGTATCAGCGAATATATATACTAACAGGTCACTGAGCGATAACTAAACGGCGACAGAGGGTTCGCCGCTAACTGAACGATGACGAAACTGCATAGGACTTGGACGTTGACTTATCCCATTATACGAGGAAGACGATTAAAGACACAATTATCATATTAACCTCTCGCGAGATGATAATATCTTCTTTTCTTACATTTCTGCTATTTGCATTCAAGAATAAATACTTGTAATAAAACGAATGTTGTATTTATTCTACGTATTTATGATAGGATGCTAACCTATTCCCGTACATTATGAAAGAATATTCACGGACGCGTTGAGAGTAATAATGTTTCACAAAATAACAAAATTTCCGGGGCATATTACTTACGAGCAGAGTCGGTTCTATGGTGATTTAAATTCCAATGTAAGTGGACAGCGATACGCGGAAATTCAGCCTTTATTGCTTTGAGCACACATTTGTACATGAGATGAACGAACCTGTTCAGGATATTCATGATAAATAGCCTGCATTGACTCATCTCGAGGGTAAACATGCAGTGTATGCTGATAGAGGCCTGGGAACCTCCAGCAATTTGTGAATGAAAGCCCCTATCTGATGAATGAACGTACGCGGGCGGCTGATAGTACAACAATTACTACAGAAAACTAGCATCCAGTTGATGATGCTAATTAATTCTAATTTAATGATGCTATTGATTTATTTTCATAGATTTCACGGATATTTATACTTAAAGTTCGACAATACAAAAATTTTGCACTATCAATCGAATTATTTCCATTGCTTTTCTGTTATAAGAAGATGATAGTATGACGAACCAAATCTCGGCTATTTGAGATAAGATAATGCGAATAGAATTATTTTTCTTATCGTAAATGTTTAGGGCAATTTTCTTTCATTCGAAGATGGTAATTATTTCTTATTATTCCGCGTTTTTTGTCTACTCGTTTCCTTGGAAGTAATTAGAGTTACAGATGGGACATTTTCACAGACCGGTCACTGCAAGCGTGAATGCATGGGAAAACCCATCGAGAGTTAAGCGACGTTAATTATAGAATTATGGGATCATGCAGACAATAGTAATGATCTACAATAATGGAAGTGATGCTTCACCTAACAACATAGCTCATTACCTACCAAACGTTTCCGTCCCGTGTCGGGTTGGTAAGGTAACAGGATGCGTACGTTAACTACTAGACAAAATTTTCTGTGACCCGACGAATGCATGCGGTGACTAACACACTCTCTCTCGTGCAACGAGATAACAGGATTTCCCTGCTTTGAAAGATAATAACGAGCGTAGGAGATAGCAACGTATTTTTTCATTGACATTTAAGAGGTGCTGATATGCAACTATTTTTACCAGGTTCAGACTTCGGCGTGGGAATACGAGTTACCGGTCGGATGGTCCTGTTGATAAATGGAAAGAACGACCACCTTCACACAAGTGGCTTGGGGAAATCTTAATTTTATCTAATTTTCCTTAGTAGCAATTCAGTAATATGAGATATCCTGGATGGCGTGGGCGGCTGCAAGTGCATTTCCTATATTCGAAAAAACAATTCAATAATGCTCCAATGTTATCCATCGTCAGGATATTTAAAGGATACCTAAAGGAAATATATATTGTTATATATTTCCTAAAGGTATATTCAAAGGGAGTATTTCATACGACGAGCGGCGAGGAAGTATATAGAAAAGCTACCATAACTCCCTATTTGGTCCGTTATTCTCATGGCACTAAAGAAACAAATGGGTCAAATTGTCGAGATATTGGCACACTTTCTGCACGTAGCACTGATACGCCCCCATTTGCCGGACCAAACTTGAGCAGGATTACCCACTCAAGATCTACATCGCTATTCGGGAAAAATGTCACTAATTTTTCTAAGTGTAAAAGAAACCAATTTTACAATTATTGGCTGAAAAAAAAAATTTGACGAGCTCATTTAAAAATGTAAATAACAAACATACCCCTGTCGTGCACTCTAGAATTCATGCCTCCTTGATTATGTAAGAAAATCATACTCGTGTTCAGCTCCTGATTGCTTTTATTTCCTACGATATATGTTATACAGCTTCATTATATCCAATTAATATCAGCGGACGTCATTCTTTAAACAAATAACAGTATTTAAAGTTTTCCGTGAAAGTTATGAAGCCATTTTCCAACATGCTTTAAAAATTCCATCTTAAAACATGCCTGCAGCTTCATACGATCATACATGGTTGAACTAGTGCATCTTCAACCGTAATGCCCCCTGTCATGATACGCGTGCATTCCTCTACAGTGGCAAGGTTGTCTGTCATACCTGATAACACTTTTTCTCAGAACCCACTACCAGGCTAGACGTGTTCATTCCAAAAAGCACTCAGCGCGGCAGCACAATGTTTTTTTTTTCAAGATTTTGACCTCAGTGACTCCCAGTCGCAACCATACAGACGTCGCTTGCGATATAATGTTTCCACTGTTTTCATTCCACATTCAAATAGCCATGCTCTTTTTATGAATGATATAAAAATATTAAGTTTCGATGTTAGTTGAGCGAAAGAACTGCTGACCAGCGACTGGTGTGCCATTGACGACTGGCACTTGAAATTGCCCAAGTTTAAACTAAATTTACTTCGTGCCTTATGGGCAGAAATTGTAGAAAATAAACACAATATTTCCCGTGTAGTTCTGATCATGGTTGAACTAATTTGATGAGCTGTAGGAGGAACGGATACGTAACACAACGCTTCCTGTCACTCATTTTTTTTTTATAACATTGATGTAGGTAGGTAGTGAACTGAAGCAGCATTGTTATATAGATGCACGCGGTGATTATGTATTTTAAGCTCTCAAATGCTATAATCATTATCAAACAATTAGGGAGCACAAGAATTCACTAATCCAGTTATTGGCAATTTCTGCAAATATCATTTAAACGAGAAAGTGTCTTTTCCCACGTGGACGTGGCTTGCGCTTGGCGCCTGCGCGGTAGCAGCGGAACGCGTTTCAACCTGAAACATCGGCCAGCTTCTTGGGCTCACACTTTCACGGGACTCGCCTGGAAGTATATAGAAAAGTATTCGGACTTCGTCTTTAATTTAAAAACCACTGAAACTACCATGTCAGTAATTTTCTGTTGCCAATAATTTCTATTGTGATTTTCCAATGCCAAATAATACATCAGATAAGTTAAAAATCTCAATTATTCTCAGAGAACCCTCAGATATATTTCATGAATTATTCAGAATTTATTTGTGAATGATTTAAGCTAAGCCAATTACCATACTTGCAGATGCTTCGTCCAAAATTTTAATTTGTAAAATATTGGTTCGTCTGCAAGTTCTAATTTATAGAACTTTTCAAATTAAGGAAACGTTCAATGGGTATTTAAGTAAGCAGTATCTTCGGTCACCTTTGAGATAAATGAACGCTGCTTGCTTCATATGTCATTAATCCTTGAATCGAGTTCAAACGTTGGAAATTGTGTCAGTTCTGATTACAGTGGTACTAAACTTTACCCTTCCTCAGCACCTCAGAAGCGGTATTTTTAGCCATCCTCCTTTTACCCCCTCGCTCAAGGCCACACATTGTGCTTGACACTTGCATTAATCCCCCATATATTATAATCATTTTTTATTTACATCGTAACTGTAGTTCTATACATCAATCATGATTTTCACAAAATTTTCAAATATTAATTTTTTATTGGATATATTGGTTTGTTTCTTCAACCACAAACTCTCTAAAGTTACACGTCTATTGACATGTAGCAACTCCAGCAGCGAGCACGGCAGCGGGAACAAGGTAAGACATGTTTAACTGCAACGTTTTACTCTCAATCTCGATTTTTAGCTGCTATATATCATGTTTGTTGGCGTAACCTTTGTAGTTCATTCAAAATGATTTTATATGTTATCTGAAAGAAGAAGAAAGTTTGAGTTCATTCGGAATTTGCAAGCTGATGCAACAAGTTTTTCTAGAACATTCCCATTCATTGCTCCGGGAAGACAAATTGGCAATCGCTTGCAACTAAGCTACTTTATCTTCAAGATGCCCTCGGTCACTTGTTACAGGTAATGAACGTTTAATGTCATTATTTGTGATAATTTAATTTTTTCACCACTAAAAACTTATATAAAATGACCATTAATTTAAGTATTTGATATTTAATAGAAAAATTATTTTGTACAATAGTTTAAAAATAAAATTGAACATCCGTGTGTGCCTGAAATTTTCTCATATCCAATTTTGTTTAATAATTTGTATTGATTGGTAATTTGATCAAATTCTAGAACAATTGTTATCGTGATAAATGAAATGTGATTGTGGATTAGTTCTGCCACTTGCATTTTTGTAATACAGCTGCTCAACATGATGCAACCGGCATCGGCCGCCTCCATAAATTGAAACGTTTCAGATGGTGAGCTAGTCATAGTGCCTTCTGCCGTTGCGGTGTGCGCAGTGTGACAGTAGACTGCTCCGGGTCAGCTCTAGCTCACTCACTCTTGCTGATATACTAATCACGTTTTAAAGTGAAATTTCTTTGCGCTAATTAATCCATCCCTTGCAAATAACTGTACGAAAATGGCGAATGATCCAGCCACTGAACTCCTTCAGTGCCTCGGCCCGCAAATCAATCCGATGTTGAACAACATTTTTTCTATGCCAGAATTTCAGTCAATGTACAGAAAAGTTGAAGAAAAAATAAAACAAGATCCCAGAAAAGAAATACTTGAAGCTGTACTTGAATGTTCATACAATGATTCAGTTACTGAGGTGAATAATATAGTTAAAGATGAAGATGGATTCCAGAAGGGCTTAATGGCAAATGACGATTTTGATGAGGAATTCGTTTATAACAACCATGCCCCGATGGACGAAGTCAACAGCTGCTGCACCATGCCATACTTCCAGGCTGGATTTGATCAAAATATATCACTTGATCACTTGAAAATCTCTCATCGTCCGATATCGCCGGTAAGTTTAAACGGGAATATTTTTTTATCCTCAATCTCTAGAAAAAAATTGAAAAATTGCGTCCTAGGTAACTACAGATTATCGACTTCTAATTGTGTTGTGTTACCTGCCTGAAGTTAATCATGCACTCTCATATTATGCCACTATGACTATGTGAGTTCTGAGGTAACATGTCAAATTGTCCATCGTGTCTCGCAAGGCTTTATGATGAGAATAGTTTTATAATCATTTTGAATTTTGTCATATTGAAGTTTTGAATGGTCATGTTCTGTCACAATTTTCGCTGCATCTTAGGATCTTACCTTATTGATAGCTAATTCAATTTTCTATCCATATGAATTTGTGCTCAAAAATTTAACCTTAGCCATAATTGTTATCAAGAAATTAGGCAAATAAGATCAACCCAGATGCCTACAGCCTACGTAACGTTTTTGAAGGAAGTAAACCATTTCAGCCGGCAATAGGCAACGTTGTTACTTTATCGGAACGTTAATAACACATTGTTGCTTTGACTTTTGAAAAATTTCTAAGTCGATCGAATTATTAATTATCAAGTACATGATTTCATAAGGCTGAGCCTCTGAGGAACTGATGTCTCGAAATAAAATATGTCTTTTTACTTTTTGTAGTCGCGCTTCGTGCGAAATGGAATGAACTCTGTGCAATTTTTCATTAGAATATAAACAAATGTGTGAATTTTTAGGAATTTTACATAGATTACCTGGCCTTGACCTTTTGTAGGGCTAAATACGTAGGGGAGAATACGTAACTTCATTCGAACTTATTTATACTGGGCCCTACGTCAATCACCAAAATATCTCGAGGTGAGATTGATTTCATTTCAACATTTGCTAGTGCCATCAGCTTTCTTCTCAGGTTGGGGAAAGAAATATTTTCTATTTGAAATTAAATTATATTAGAAAATTTTTTTATGAGTAACTGCATTATAAGCACCACTTTTGCAGTTCAATATTAAACTCATGGTCCCATTTTTCGTTTTTCAGACTTCAACGTTTAGAGCGGCTTCTTCAGCAAGTCAAGTTGGTTCATCGTCATCGGCTGAACGCACTTCAGTTCGGCGACAGGCGAGGACGAAGAGATTTGGCGCGGGTACGACCCGAGTCCGTTCGAGCACGGAACCCAGCTCTAGCGGTCAACCCAGTTGGCAACACAACATTGGAACAAACACTGAGGAAGAAAATTCTGTCTTGTTCAACCAACCTCGTGAAAGCGTAGGCGGCTATAATGGTTTCGGCGACGTTTTTCGTGAAGCACACAATTGTCTCCTTGATGCAGAAACTTCGCACATACCCAGTAATACTATTCAGTTCAGAGTACCAAGTCCATCGCTGAGTCATAATTCACACCGTCACAACTCTGGAGAACCTCTTCATTATGATGACAGCGTATCAGATTCAACATATCCATACTCACCTTGTCAAAGCTCCATTACCGACATCGATGCTCTATCGCCCCGTCCCTCCTCTTCCTCATACTCGGAAGGATCTTTTATACAGAGTCCGTACATGAATGACTCATGCACTTCTCCAGACTCTAATCCATCGCCATCACCTTGCCTGCCGTTTGAGAACAAGATTGTGGTAAATTCAAGAGGTCAAAGTTATTCTCTCAGTCGCAGTGGACAACCGGGAGCATTTACGAAAAAGAAATCGCAGCGCATGTCTCTTGCCGGACTCACTGAGGCTGATAAGAAGAACAGGATTAGGGATCAAAACAACAGAGCTTCTCGTGAATACAGAGAAAGACGCAAGAGCAAAGACAATTTTTTACTGACGTCTATCAACGAACAGGAGCAAGTTTTACGTGAAAAAAAGGCCTCTCTTCAACAATTGCAAAATAAAATAACAATTCTGACACGTGTCTTCGAAGAGCGCCGAAAAAAAGGCTACTTCTATCCCGAATATGAAGCCAGGAGGGATGTTTTTTTACGGATAGACAAAATTTTGACTTCTATGTAAATATACCGCTAAGGTCTTAAAATGTTGAAGTATTTTTATGGAGATGTTGTATTTCTCTCAATTACGTGTTGTATGTTCAATAGACAAATTAGAATCATTCTATTTTATTAACGTTACACATGTCGTGAAGTGAAGGACTCATATTGTCGGAGTTGCTTTGATACATTCTACATTATAAGTCACTATGTAATTTTAATTATATTATTTTGGTTCAAACAACTTTTTTAAACAATGAGTATGCCCCACAATTTTATGTACGATTTTTTTAAATGTATAGGAAATTTTATTGCACAGTTATCTATAATTCAATAATTTTAAATTTGTCGTTACATTTGTTACTGAAGAGTAGATAAAACTAGGTATTATTTCAAAATTATTTAAAATGCCTTCGTTTTATATGAATTTTTGTTCATAATTTGTAATAGAAATTTAACTTCCCGTCGTGTGCCATGTATTCGCTCGTATGCGACTCATTCAAGATGAAAGCTTGTACTGATTCGAACAAAAAATAAACTTAAATTACAAAAAAAAAACTAGTGTATCTATGGGATTTTTACATTCAAAATATTTTCGTAGTATATCTTGAAAAAAAGTCCTGTTTTACTTTAATTTTGTTTACTCTTATACTTTGTAGTCTAAGTCGTTATTTAAGTTATAAAGCTTAAAACCTGTTAGCAGCAGCCTTGTAGCGTAGTTGAAAATCGTGTAAGATCTGTGCTTCGGTTAATATACCAGATGAATCCTGTCTTCCTCAATTCCTCCTACATGCGTATGTTGAATAAGTAAATTCGACACGTTAGATTACTCACGTTGAAGTAGGAAATCATTGCTTTCAAGACTTGAACCACTTGAAGGTTTCGTTCATTCGCCGCGTATCACTAACTATTAATTCTATCAGTTGCCATAGCGTGAACCATAATGCGGTTAGCTCGGCGACGCTTAAGTTAGGTAATCCATGAAGTTGGAGAATTACCGAACTCGGTCATCCCTAACTCCATCATCCCAAAGTAGTTGCTAATTTCGAGACTATATTAGGTGCAGGCAGGGTGGCCCAGTGGTTAAAGTTCAGAGTACCACGATTGGTGCAAAGAGCCCAAGTTCCAGTTATCAAGCAACAGGGATACTAGAGGCTACTCTTTTAAGTATGCTCGCAAGAGGCAGATGTCGACTCAGCGTACGTAGCAACTTATTTTCACAGCGAGTAATTAACTCATGGAATAGTCTGCCAGAATCGGTCGTCACAGCGCCATTTGTAAACAGCTTCAAGAGCAGGTTCCACAGTTTCTGGAGGGACAACCCGGCCCGGTACAGCTCTTCATGCTACGAGTGATGAGGCTTCAAACATCTTGGAACAGACACTGTGACGTGCGCGGTGCTGATAAAAATTGTTGTCGACCGATGAACAGGACCTTAAATCGTATTGTCAAAGTCAAAGAGAGGTGCGGGTTAGATCTCAGCTCTGTGCGCCAGTTTCTGGTCAGAATCGGCGAGGAGCAGAATTGGAGCAGGGAGTGGTGTGTTCGAGACAACATCGAGCTGTGAATGTTCTGCGATGTTAAGAATCGGCGACAGGCCTACGGCCTAATAAATGCTGAAACCGCTATTATTATTATTATTATTATTAAGTGAATTGAGGAAAGACTGGATCAAATACACAAATTTTACACGGAGTTCACATTATTCTAGTATCGCTTAGAAACTCGGCAATAAAAACTTTTAATTGTAAACATAATACACACGCACCAAAATAAAAATCATATCCTAAATTCGGAGGTGTTGCAAACAATGAATGGTTCAAACTTCACCGAACTACAGCCGACTAAACCGTGAATCGAGGAATTTTATTTATTATTCAAAGTAAAGTTCACAATTCAACAGCAAAATATAACTTTGGGAGTTTCATTTAATATTGATGCTCGTGTATCGTTTGGTGCTCGTTCGAACGACGTTACACGATGGTCGGCTCTTGTGACAGCGCAACGGGGCCGCAGCCGCACGCACTCCGCAGCCATTGTGCAGAACTGCAGATTCCTTTCGGACGGCGTAGTTTAATTCCGTGGACATTGGCGTTGATGCGTTATTTGAACAATTTAAACTTAGGTGAGTCATAAGTTAACTTCATGTTGAATATATCTTAGTTCATTGTAATGTGAGATTAAATGCATATCGTTGGTTTTCTTACGGTTTAAACAACTTTAGCTCCTGAAAGCCTCCTGTGCAGGCTTGATAAGGCTACCCGTCAGAAAATTCTCCGGTCTGTCTTGCGGCAGTCTTCAAGCCTTCGCGAGCACATCGGTGAGCACTCATTGAGAAGTAAATATCTCCAAGACAACGGTGAGCTTTAAATATCTAATAGACCAGTAATATATTTCGATTAAATATTGCACGTGTCACGTGTGTATATTGGCACCTTCTGGCTGGCCAGGCTTTGTATGGGTCGTTAAAAAAAGTTTCGATTGGTAAGTTATACAGCAAGAATTTATCCTGGACCTAATAGGCTATATTATAAAAACTTAATTGATGATTTCAGCAAAACATTGCATGTGCACTCCTAACCATCCTGCGGCGATTTTGAACACATGAGAAAATTTTCAATTTCATTTGCAGTAAAAAAATAGCATTGAATTTGCTGGAAAAATAATTACTCAAAAAACGTATGCTGAATGAAAAGATTTTCCTAATTTTGGTAAAAACCATATCCTATATCTTCCTTCTCTAGCTATGAGCTAGCCTATGGAGTATTTCTATGAGTCTACAAAAAATACATTTTTAGTCGTTTGAACGAGCTTTGAAAAATAAACGGGTACAGTACAGTTTCAGCTTGCCTTAAAACCAAGAAATTTCTTTGTAATTTCGTCCTTCGTAGAGTTCATTTACCATGTGAGCAATATATATTCATTGACAACAGGCTTTTTTTTAGCGATTTGTGCAACCAAATTTAAGTGGGAATATAAAATGGAATGAATTGTCGAAAATACGTTTCCTTTACGGTCTATATAAAAAATGATGTATTTATAGGTAAAATATAACTTAGGAAATTTATTTGAATAGTTACGCACGTGTGGCGTTGGCTCCTCGTTCAAACGACGTTGCACGAGGTTTTCGTTCGATTAGACGGCTTCTATGCCTGCGTGTAAACGATGATTCTGGCATTTGTCGAGGAGCGCAATGCTGTCGTTGATCATTTGATTGATGTGTCTATTAAGCTATGGTGAGTACTGAGTAATGTCAATCAACATAGTTTTTTTATATGTCCATTTAGTGGAAACGTCCTGCTAGCTGCTGCTTTGCTGTATTGAGATAGACTGTTCGGGCCACGGTTGAACTACTTGAATTTTGAAAACCTAGGTTCAACCATAGTTCGGTCAAGCAATTTTCTATTTTCGGACGTCTATTTTGACTGTGAGAATTCTTCTAAAACCTATATCTTCCTGAGTGTGGCTTGCTGTATGCAAGAGATAAAAATCTTCCTAAGTAAGCTGCTGCTTTTATGTTTACTGTTTCATCATTCATCCATGACTCATTGCCCATCGCCATCGGCCATCACCATCGATGTGAGTTCAGTATGACTGTACCTGCTAAAGTGAACCCATAGTGAACCACTATGTTAGCATACTACAAAGTTAAAGTATGAACGACACCACCCATTGTTTTGATTTGGTCTGTTTATTGATTTGTTGATTGTTTTAATCAATGAACTTAACTGATTTCTTTTTCTATTGCTTAGTTTTATTAAGAGTAGAAGTTGGAGTGTTGACCATTAAATTGTAGTAGGTATATCTTGTGACTTGTGTGTTGTTTACCTAATCAACCCTGCAGGCCTGATGAGTGCATTTTTAATTCATCCATTTAAAAGTGTTTAAGATTTTGGATAAGGATTGAATATTGATATTGTCTTGTCATATTCAGAAGATGACATGATACCAAGATAGTCTTTAGTTGTTAAAAGGAAATGTATCCTAGAAAGAGACAAGGAGTAGGCAAGTCTTGTAAATAATTTCAATTATATAATTGTTGGATGGCATTTTTCTTGGTTGATTTAAAATTTGAATTTTTGAATGATGTTTATTGACTGGTAGCTATAGTTGTGACTTGTGCAGGTGATATGGTATGATGGAGCCGTGCAGACCAGCAGTGGTGGCTGACACCAAAGTTAAGATAGCTGATGATGCTGTTGGTGAACCTGCCCACAAAAGAGCTAGATATTCCATAAAGGCAGGACATGATTTTATTTTCTTTGTATCAAAATTTATTCTAATGTTTTGAAGCTCAAATGATAGGATTATTGAAGGAATTCCACTATGACCTGGGTTTTTAGGGAAATGTCAATTAACAGCAGTCATTTTAGGTTTTTATTCTTTTCATTTTAATCATCATCTCAATACTTCCATCATCTGTTAGTAGTTGGCTAGTGCCATATGAATTTATGAACATGCTTCAAAGTTAAAAATCAATATGTTGCTATCCTTCCCATCATTTTCACTATGGGGGAACATTTGGGTCTAGAATAAATAATATTGTCTTTTTAATATTCTGAGCTCATTTTGTAGCTTTGCAGCCATAGACCTGTAGTATGTGCATCAGTGCATGTGTGAGGCAGTTTATATAAATGTAAGAAAGCTGGTACTGTGGTATATATATATAGTTACAATCTCGTACATTTTAAAATGTGCCTTTATGGACAATTATTACAGGTATTTCTGAAAAAGATGGTTTTTAAATTAAATTAGATAATACATGATGCTATTGTCGTAAGTATTAGGCAATAGTAAGATGGGGATTCAGAACCAAGAAAGCTTTTTACCATTTAGCTATTTTTTGAACTTTCAGTTTATGGCCAATTGAACTATTGAATTTTTTTAGCTCATAAAGTTGACTCTTTCAAGAGCTACAAGAGCAAGAGACATGTCATTCAATTAACTATGCAAATATGAATTTAAAAGCAAAAACAACACCACAAAAATTCACCATATCTTTATAAGAGCAAACGCTTTGGAGTCCAGCTCCATCGTCTATTCACAAAATTCAGTTCAGGTTAAAATATATTTTGTAAACTGACAATAGAGCTGGACTCCGAAAACATTTTCTCTTATAAAGATATGGTGAATTTTTGTGGTATTGTTTTTGCTTTAAATTACTGGTTAACTTGCGATTTAAGTAAACAAGTGATTTTAATACTATGCAAATATATATTGCTATCGAAGCAATTTTCTCTCATTTATTGATTTTTTGCTTCATTTATAGTAAAGTTTAAGGATTTAGGTGGGGTCATAGAGGAAGAAAAGTAGAAGTGCATACAGAAAATTGAAAATGAAATTCAAACCAGAGCAACTGGCTGGGCATTTTGCATTATGCATATAATACTATATTTTTCCAAAATTTTCAGCTATGAAACCACAAATTTCAAACTTTTGAAGTCCTTTTTTGTTAGGTTTTTTATAATTTAGATTTTTTTTATTTATAGGATTCCTGAAGTATCTGCTCCAAACTTGTTTCATGGTTACAAATTTTGTTCATAATTTTTTTTTAACTAGATGGACGCAGATGTACTCGTACAAGAAGCCGTTGAGAATGGCATGCTCACACGTCGACCTGGAGAAAGGGAGGCAAGTTTATTTTTGACAGCAATCAGAATCAGTTTATCAGTAACATCAGCATGATGAACTAGTACATGTTGATATAAACTACATACAAGTCACTATATTCCTGGATTTTGTGTTGAATTCAACCTCAAACTGTTATTCCCATATAATTAATTGGTATTCTTTTCTACAGGAGTTTAAATGTGAGCTATGCCTGTGCTATCTGACGGGATTTGTACCTGCTGTGGACCATCTCAGGGGCTCCAGTCACGAAAAGATTTTCTTGCAGCAACACAGCGGAACTGTAGCGGTGATCCCAGGGACACAGGAGACTGCCTCTGGAGAAGGTATGGAGATTTCTGTCTTGCTTGATAAAGTGTTGCATAAGCTGTACTAATCACAGTAACATACTGAATGTGCTGGTCTTGTACGTCTTATTTTTTTCTGGATTTTTTTTATAGAATTTCAGTGGGTGAAATATGTGCTGTATACTGTGCCTTTGAGAAGTATTGTACTGTTTTATTCAGCATTAATAATGATGAGCAAGTTTTGTATATATTTTGTTGAAAATTTTACGAATGGAGGAAATTATTTACTACGTATTTTGTCAGTTTTTAATTAGCATTATCATTGAAAAAGTGTAAGTCTTAACCCTTCACCTAAGATAGACTTGACTAAATTTGATTGTGTCAAAAAATGAATTCAAAAAATTCATTTGAATCTTTTAAATTCAGAAATGCATTTACAAAATTTATTTTTTATCTTGTTATAGAAGCAATGTATTTATATATATATATATATATATGTTATACCTACAACAGTGACAGTGAAATTTTGACAAGGTAATAAAATAATTCCTAGAGATTGTGAACTAAAACCCAAATTAGTTGTGATTTGTGACTCACTGGATTGATGTTTTTTCGTACATTGAAATAGAAGTACGGCTTCTAATAATTATAATGTCTTATACTTGGAAGCATATCAAGATGTAGCATTATTCTAACCTTGTTTAACTTTCCTGCTCGCTTTCAGATTTAGCTGTGGATTTGAAAAATTTGGTTGAAGCCGGAGTTCTTGTGCACAAGATTGAGCATGGAATTACAAGTATATTCTGCAATGCCTGTCAGGCTCACATGAATGGCAGTCTGCCTGCCATCGGCCACATTCAGGGTGCCCAGCATTCGAAAAGAATGCGCAGGTATTTTGACATTGAGTCTTAATCAGCCTCTTAACTTAACCAAGTTTATTCATAATTCACCCTCTTAACTTGACTGAATTTATTCATAATTGAGCCTCTTAACTTACTGAATTTATTCATAATTCAGCCTCTTAACTTGACTGAATTTATTCATAATTGAACCAAATGCATATTCAGACATAACGCATATTCATTGAACATAACGCAAAATTCAGACTGCTGAGCATTCTCAGAGGAAGTTATTGAATTTTATTCTTTAGGCGACTCGTATGCCTCGCCTGACTCTCCTTCACTGCACCCCTATACCTCCAATTGATTATTACTGTCACTTTTCCATTTATCATTCTATTTGGTGTAAAATAATTGCCCGTTTTTGGCTACAAATCTGTATATGGCATTAGAAAAAATGACAATGATGAGGAATAACTTAAGCAATATAAGTAAATGGATTTTAAGCCCAAATTGCTACAATTTATACCAAATAAATCAAGATCAAGCACTGGTTGATATTTTTTTAGTGCATTCCTCTTGTTTCGAATCTATTTCTAAATGTATTGTCAAACCTCACAGTTGGACGTCAACGGCCGGCTCTGCAAGTGCTGCTGCTCTCAACTCCAGCTTGCCCAAGGAATCTGTTCATGTCAACGTTTCATCAAACTCGTGTAAGCCTCTTGATGGAAGTAGAGGACTTGTTCTGTAATATTTTACCCACTGATAGAGAGCATTAATGGTGTACACTGTGGGGAAATTACAAGACTCATTCGTGCAACGGATCATTTAAGCAATTTGTTGTGAAGTTGACTGTATGTATTCACTTGGCAAACTATTGTGGGTTTTAGTGAAGGATGTTTGATTTAAGCTTCAAAAAGGTTGTTCGATATAAGCTTTAAGCGGTGTTTTATGTAAGCTTAAAATGGTGTGCGATTTTAGCTTTGAAGGGTGTTTGATTTTAGCTTCAAAGAGTGTTTGATTTAAGCTTCAAAGGGTGTTTGATTTAAGCTTCTTATGGTGTTTGATTTAAGCTTCATAGAGTATTTGAATTAAGCGTCTAGGGGTGTTTAATGTAAGCTTCTTAGGTTGTTTGATTTAAGCTTCAATGAGTGGTTGATTTCAGAGGGTGTTTTATTTTAGCTTCAAATGGTGTTTGATTTTAGCTTGAAAGGGTGTTTGATTTTAGCTTGAAAGAGTGTTTGATTTTAGCTTGAAAGGGTGTTTGATTTAAGCATCAAAGGGTGGTTGATTTAAGCTTTAAAGGGTATTTGATCTTAGCATCAAAGGGTATTTTTTGGTTCTAGCTTTAAAGGGTGTTTGATCTTGGCTTCAAAGGGCGTTTCCTTTTAGCTTCGAAAAGTGGTTATTTTAGCTTCAAAAAATTTCATTTTAGCTTCAAAAAATTTCATTGTAGCTTCAAAAAGTTTCATTGTAGCTTCAAAAGGTGTTTGATCTTGGCTTTGAAGGGTGTTTGATTCTAGCTTCAAACGGATTTTGAAGTAAGCTTAAAGGGTTGTTTCATACAAGTTGGGTGTTTGAATCAAGTAGTGCCCCAAAATACCTAGCTGTAAATGAGTCCATCAACGTCAACCGGTGTCATCGATGCAAATATTTTTGGAAGTTATAACCAATTTTTTCATGCCTGTTCCTCAATCTTCTCTTTGTGAAGCTCTACCAAATGATATAAATGAGTAGTAATTTTCTGTTCTACTAGTGATGACCGATTACTGTTGGAAACTCGCCAAAGCAGGTCTTTATTTTTCTGAATATTCCACAGGTAAACTTGAAGACGAAGTTTCGAAGGGTGTGATGCTCAAAATAACAATGGGCAGTGTGATCCACTACAAATGTAGCGTTTGTAACACCACCATGACTGGCGAGCCTCCTGCCCTCACCCACATCGCTGGAGAACGCCATCGGAAAGCTCTCATCAGGTATCGTCTAATGCTAGCCAACACCTCACTCTTGTACACACCCTTCTGACTTTGGCATGAATTACATTATTTTTACAATGTACATTCAATTCAAGTTCCCTGTATACAAGTATTTAATTTTTGTTCATATGGAACTGAATTGTTGGGGCCCAAGTTTTTGACTGTAAGATATCTCAAGGCTAGCATTCAGTGGCTCGATTGATTCAAAGACAAGTATCCCAAACGATAAGATGATAGTAAAGCATATCTCCAAGAAATATGACTCGGTACTCACTGCAGTGAGTGACAGAGAGCGCCTTTTCCCAACTAGAAAACTTTTCCCGACCGTCCGTGAAGTCACGGACGGACAGACAGACAGACAGACATGACGAGCACAATAGCGTCATTTTTCCATGAATGAGAAAATGCGCTAAAAATGCTTAATTTGCGAGAGATGCCATTGTGAAATTTTTATCAACGGCTTCATTAAGTTCACATAGTTAACCTGTGTTTTCTTACTCTTTATAATGATGAACGACGTGGCGGCGTGTTGTCAGCTCCCTAATTATGTTGCTCATTCCTTTCTGTACTTGGCAATAATCATTCAAGTAAATATTAGTAGGTGTTATATGTTATGTAACGGAGAATAAACGTTTCATTGAAACCTCACTTCAAGTGGCACTGCCAGCCCTGTCATATGATTTGCACTTGGATTCAATCTATCTACAGGGTCCGTCATATTTATGGCAACGGATGTTTGCTAAATAAAAATAAATTGGTTTCTAGGAGACTTTTCTTTTATAATGAAGCTTAATATCGTCTATTAAATTATATATTTTATATTGCAGAAGTCTAAGGTGTCTAAATTTACTATTACTTATGGCAGTAGATAGCAATGCAATTGTAACCCTTCATGAAAAGGACGAGAGTAATTCAGTCATCGCTAAAAAGCTCCAAATTCGTCGTGAAACTGTGGAAGGTGGTAAAAAATTAAAGGAAACTGGTGAAACGTGCAATCAACGTGGTCAAGGAAGGAAACTAAGTGTTTGAACAAAACAATTGGTCAAAAACACGAGGGAGGAGTTGAGGAGAAACCGTCGTCGCTTAGCAGCAAAATTGGCTGCAGAAACAGGAGTCAGTCAGACATCAATGCGTAGAGTCCCCTCAGGAGTGAAATTGAACAGTCAGCGATACATTTCGGACATTTTGGAAGCTGTGTTGTTACCTTGGGCCCGTAAACACTTCAACGGCTCACCATGGAGTTTTCAACAAGACTCTGCCCATCACATTGCTCAAACATGACCCAAAACTGTATTCAGGGTCACATCCCAGCGTTCATTAACAAAAATCAACGGCTCTCAAGAAGCTCTGATTTTAATCCTTTCGACTTTTTTGTGTGAGCTTTTTTAGAGAGTAGGGGTCTGCAGAACACCTCATGATTCTTTAGATAGTTTGAAATCTAAATTGACACGAGAATGGGACTTGATCCCTCAAGAAATGCTGCGTGTCTCCTGTGAAGCTTTCCCGCGTAGATTGGAGGCCGTCATTAAAAATAAGGGTGGTCATATTGAATAAATATGTCTGAGAATTGTTTAGGTAATTCTTGGCTACTAGCTCATCCAATAAAAAAAAACAATTCACCTGTTTGTTTCAATGAGAAATAACAGAAAACATGCGTTGCCATATATATGACGGACCCTGTATATGATTAAGTTTTAGTATTAATTAGTTTGTTAAATTGTTTATCAAATGCTAATTTTGTTCGTTCAGAAATCAATTCGAAATGAAGTCAGCCAGCTCGTCAGTTGATGTATCCCTGGCATCATTGAATATATCACGGGATTCGCAGGATGGTCATTCTAAATCTTCACAATTTGATTCAAGCCTCATGCAGTCTCTGACTGACATGCAAACTAAAAGTAAGTAAATCTACGGAATTAGAGATTTATTTTCCCGTCACAAAACTACCTTTTATTGAATGGCAGATATGTATGATTAATTTACTGTGGTATTGAAGTAATAAGCTGCATATACATCCGTGTAGTGTATTCATCCGTGGTTTCTAACAACACTACTCTGGAATAGCTTATTTTAGTTTGATCAATTCTTACTCGTTCTCATCAATTCTTACTCGTTCTCGTTCATTCACGAATGTTGGTTTGTTTTCTAGGGTTTTCTAGACAGACCGACCGTTCAGAAGTGTCGATTTTTGCATGCTACGTTAATTTTTAAAACTTCAATCACTATCATGAGTAAAATATTAGGTACGGGACTGACGTCCGCTTCTGAGGCATTAGCTAAAGGCATCGTGACGGAAGTTCGGGCGGGACAGTTCGTGTGCAACATTTGCAACACTCTTGCTCCCATGTTCGGCACTCCCACTCTGAATTTGAGTTTCAAAATAAAAACTAAACTGAATTACTCTATTCAGAAGTACTTTTTTGAGAAATAAATTGTAAAGTTTTGTGATGGTTGAGTCAGCTGAAAAATGTCTTCAATTAGTAAGAGTTTCCTGCTAAGGGTTTTCCGATTGATTTTACTTTTTTATTATTAATAGAAATCGTTTGATAGCGATTCGTCATTATTATGTTGTCAGCGTTAATTCATAAATTTAAAAAGTCGACTTCCAATTAAATTTCCTTCTCGGTAATTGTTTGCACTATTGCGGGCTAAAGGCACGCTCATATATTTACATCATTCTGGTGTTCCGATCTTGTGTACCACTTCGAAGTATCATTCTATAAATATTTTTTTTTCCGTAGAGCTGCAACTTCTCTCAACTGCTCATCAGTATCGTCGCCGGGAACTTCACGTACGTCGAGTTCCCTCACGCAGGCCTTCAAGTCTGAACGTTCAAGTGACGTTCATGATTCTGCTGCTGCGGCTAATAGTAAGTCCTATGTCACTTCGTCTCTTTGAGATGCTAACGCTGCTTCCTTCGAGCCAGCTTCAGCGGGCTGGACATCTGAGACCTTCCGCCCCTTGTGGGTGATGAATAATTGAGACCTTCCACCTCTATGGTGATGTTCATCTAGACTTTCGGTGCGAGATAGCTTAATAGCTGAAGCGCTAGTAAACATTTGGCCACTAAACTAAACTAACTAAACTATGTTCGGCTTGAAGTGGTACTCATTCTAGACTAATGATCTTGAAAGGATCTAGCTAACTGTAATCTTGCTGTTCTGAAATCAAGTTGTTCTGAAATATTTTTTACCAAGTAGAATCATTGCACTAATATAAATAGTTCATGTCTAATTTGACGTATTTATTGTGTGCTTACTTGAATCTTGTTGTTCTTAAATTTATTTTTTACTGAAGACTGTGAACAAGGCACGAAAATTTTATTGACTTCAACAAAACGAGTTAAGTGACACAACGTCTAACTTTAACCTTGAAGTGTAGAATTTGTGTGCAGCAATTGTTAGAGTAAGTGTAGAATTTGTGTGCAGCAATTGTTAGTAGTTGAGTATATTTGCTGGATTGGTAGTTAGCATTCATAAATTCTATACGATTTTCGTTTTTTGTTATCAAACTGATTCTTAAAGTTAATATCTTAGGTACTTTGAAAAATGTTTCATACTTATATTTTGATTGTTCATTATCTCGCATGAAAGTACTAGTTTTGAATATTGGGTTTAATGGACAAACAATTGTGAGTGCGTCTGAAGCCTGCCATCACATATCCATAGGCTGTTGGGGTGCGTCTCCAGCATACTGATCATGTCGGGATATTACCTGGTCCTCAAACTTTGTTCTTTTGTGGGGGAATAGGGAAGGATTGGGGACCGAAAATTAATCATGATTGTACAACTGGTAAATATAAATTAGATTTAAAAGACGGAAAATAGTTCCATATTTCGAAACGAGAGAGAAATGGGAGTCCACTCTTATAACTGAAATGGTTATTTTCAAGAAGTCTTTCTTTAATTAGAATAAATGAGCGGTTTTATCATTATTGGGATTAAGGATCATGAAAATGACGCGATTTGGGATAATATGATTCCAAATAGCAGAAATTATTATGAAGCCTTGGCTAACTTGCTAGTATTTAAAGTCTTCATTGCTTATTTTGCACTCGATCAAAAATAGAGATATTCGTAATATTAATCACTGTTAAACTCTCACAGACTAATTGTCTTTTCCAGTTCTCAAGGTGCACTTTTCGCCATTGCGTTGGTGCCCATACACATTATTTGGTACTAGACCATCGGTCACCATATAGAACCGGTCTAATATTCATTTGATCTCATAATTTACATTGGTGGTTTTGAACTTATAAAATGTCTCACATTGAAGTCATTTTGCTCTTACAGAGACCGATGAGGAGATTATGAATGAGGCTCTTGATAGTGGCGTTCTGCGGCGGACACACGCACACTTCTTCAAAATTGAAGAGTATGAGTGCACTGTCTGCAGGAAAACCATGACCGGCTGCACGCCTGCCGTGGCGCATTTGAAGGGTATTTCCCATGTCAAGGCGCTGCGTCAACGGTGAGATGATATTCCTGTTCTCATAATGGTTTTGAAAGAAACTTAGAATTCTTTTGCTGAGAGGCATCGCATTTATTACCAGGTTATATTTTGAATGAAGCCGTTATCTGCTATATTCGATTCTTATTTATGAATGAGTGAAAGATATTATAGAAGTTTTTTGAATACTGAGTTTGCCAGGAACTGCCTTTTGGAAAACCGCCTTAACAATTTTTACTCGCAAACAGTGGAGGAAAGTTTTAGATTGAAATGAGTTCGTAATCTAGTTTTCTAAGTATTATTTAATCATCAGTACTCTAAATTCTATATATTACATGTCAGTTAGATCCCGATTGTACAACGTCGCGTCATAATTTACCTCGTCCGCAGGTCCGGATCTTCTTCTCCATTTTCATCCAGTACGAACTCATCCTGCTCTGATCTTGTAGCTGCCTCAGGTTAGATTTTGGGACGAGTATTTGAAGATATTTTTTATCTAGAAAATAGGTTTCATTCAAATGAAAACAATTCCATATTTGAACTCTAAGAGTTACAGCAAATTGAACTATTAATTCATAAATTTTCACAAGTCATTTTTTATTGTCAACTCAATAAGCTCCCGCACACCCGTTTGTATTTTGTGATTTTTGTCACTCTACATATCGCGGAGCAACGGTATTGATTTCTGGCCACGAGTCCGAACGCTGTGTTGAAGCACTACGGGTTTCATGTAAATATAATTTCATTTTGAACATCAGGCGACCAGGACTGCAAGAGGATTGAAGCAGCGGTCGCTGCAGGAATGGTCAACCGTGCCGCTAAGAGATGCATAGTGTGTGACCTGGTGCATGAAAGCTACTCGGATCTAGAAAGGCACCTCGGGAGCGAATATCATCGAAAAAATGAAAAGTAAGTTTCGGATTATTTGATTATAAACATGCGTGACGCGAGTGCCTTGACGTGTTGCTATCGCAGCTGCGCTAGGCAGCTTATGTTACGACCACCATGCACTCTTGAATGATTTTAAGATTGATCAGCTATCATTTGCTCTATGGATCAGCTATCATTTGTTTGCTGATCAAGCATCACGAGTTAATGCCTTACTTGTGTTGTGGTGATACTGATCTTCCGAGTTTAAGCAATAATATTGTATAAAAGCTAGAGGATAACTGGAGACTGGTATGAGGTTCTGTAGATAAAGGTATTATAACCTTTGGCTTGAATAATGCATATTTAATGTTAATGTCAGGCATTTCAACAGAAAAGGGCAGAGAGCGTTGCTTGTTTATCCATTCCCAAACCCTTTCAAAAGTTCAATAATTAGGTTGAGGAGAAATCTCAATCTAATAATTGAACCATTCAAGGATGAAATCCACGTACAAAATTTTCTAGTTGGGAAAAGATTGAAAACTCTATTGTTTTAAAGACGAAAGCAAACAATTGCGAATTACATCAAACTTGTTAGGTGAATTTCAAACGAATAACTTATTTATGCTTATTCTAATACTTGCACTGATTATCTTGTGGTTCCTGATTTAAGTTCACCCTTTTGATATAAGCGTGACTTTCTTGTAGGCGTTGGGCTGCCAAAAAGGAACCGGTTGATACGTTGCTGAAGACTCGTTCGGACATCCTCTCGGCGCTGCCCGTGTTGGACGGTCAACTTAGTAAGTTATTTGATAAAATACCGACATTTTTGAACGATAAATCAGGAAAGCTAATCTATTATGGTTGAATTCCCTATTAATTATTTTCATGTTTGAATTCAATTCATACGAACTTGAACTCTCTTATTATTTCAGATCTGGCGGCATTTGTTGAACGCGGCGAAGTCCTGGTGCTGGAACGTAACGGCAGCGAGGACTACAAGTGTGTTCGCTGCGACGTCATCCTCAATGCTGTGGACTCTCTGCGTGCTCATCTGCTCGGCAGTAAACATCGGAAGGGCAGCAGGTCTGTAAAAGGGCAGTAGTAAGTCAGTGAAAGGGCAGTAGTAGGTCAGTGAAAGGGCAGTAGTAGGTTAGTGAAAGGGCAGTAGTAGGTTAGTGAAAGGGCAGTAGTAGGTTAGTGAAAGGGCAGTAGTAGGTCAGTGCAAGGGCAGTAGTAGGTCAGTGAAAGGACAGTAGTAGGTCAGTGAAAGGACAGTAGTAGGTCAGTGAAAGGACAGTAGTAGGTCAGTAAAAGGACAGTAGTAGGTCAGTAAAAGGACAGTAGTAGGTCAGTGCAAGGGCAGTAGTAGGTCAGTGCAAGGGCAGTAGTAGGTCAGTGAAAGGGCAGTAGTAGGTCAGTGAAAAGGCAGTAGAAGGTCAGTGAAAAGAAAGTAGTAGGTTAGTGAAAGGGCAGTAGTAGGCAGTGAAAGGGCAGTAGTAGGCAGTGAAAGGGCAGTAGTAGGTTAGTGAAAGGGCAGTAGTAGGTTAGTGAAAGGGCAGTAGTAGGTTAGTGAAAGGGCAGTAGTAGGTTAGTGAAAGGGCAGTAGGAGGTTAGTGAAAGGGCAGTAGTAGGTTAGTGTGCAGTAGGTGCACTACTTTTTGACTTGGTTAGGAGCGTTTTGCCCACTTTTTGAAAGTCATTGAGCGAAGTAGTTTAGATTTTAGTTGTGTTGAATAATACCATTGAACAGTCGATAATAAAAATATGAAATCGCTTGTGACCCAGAGGTTTATTGAATGTTTACGATATTGGTTGTTAGATTGTGTTGTATTTTAAGTTCTGTAGCTGTTGATCAACTGATTCAAATTCCACCATCATCATTTTAGTTTTGATAATATACGGTTCAGCCTTTTGTCTTGGTGTGGATAAATAGCATTTCTACGTGTTTGCATCTAGCGACCTTACGATAGTTACTGTCGATATGCAGTGGATGTAAACCTTTTGACCAACAAATTATTATATTGCAGGCCTACAGCAGGAGAGGGCCAACTGCCTGTTCCGTCTTCTCCTCGTTCTGCTGTTCTTTCTCACGACACAGCTGACGGCGACAGCTCCTCCTCAGACGACAGCTCGGACGTCGAAACTCCAATTTTCATAGCAGCTGACCAAAGCTTAGACCAAAACGTGGAATTTATGAATCATGTCGCAAAAATGAGACGTCGGCATGCCCGGCGCAAAGTTAGAAACATGATATGATAGAATTAGTTGGCGAACATTTATCAGGGTTACGAGTTTTTTGGGTAGGTATATTTTGCTTGAACACTCTTACTTTTTTGTTGAACAAATATGATATTGTTATTCAATAATGTAGGTCCTAGATTCAACTTTCTGCTAGTAGAGGATTTTTGATGATTATATAACAAAGGAAAATTTACATTAAAAGTCAGGTATTCATTTGCGTTTAGTCACATGTTTGCTGGTGAATACCAAAGTTATTTGCTGCTAGAGATAAGGTAATAGATAAGTGATATTCAGGTAAAAATGGGCGCTAATTGTGTTAGGATAACGGAAAGGCAGTGATCGTTTATGATAGAAAACTAGAAATTCAAAGAATGCTCTAACCAGTCATGTGCGGTCAGGGTTACTTATCTTTATCTGCTTCTCATAGTTATTTACCAGGTTGCAAGATGGCTTCAACTTGTAATTAAAAAATAGTTGATTTTTTTAGTTATTACCATTACATTCAATTTAGGTAATACAGATGATTTTGTTGGAGGCCATAACAAGTTCAATAGCAACGCTTGAGATGAATTAAGCTAGCATTGAAGATCAGTTAGAAAACGGCTGACGCCGCGTCTTTTAAGAATAAAATAGTAATAGAAGTTGACTTCGATACCGCTTTGTGATGATATGCACCGCGTCTTTTAAGAATAAAATAGTAATAGAAGTTGACTTCGATACCGCTTTGTGATGATATGCAGCCAACTACAAATAACTCTTCAATCCGACACATGGAGTGGACGATCTCTCCAACACTCCATGGTTGGAGAGATGCTCGACTGTCCTTGTCGGATTGAAGAGTTATTTGTAGTTGGCTGCTTGTTATTACTCTTTTGTTCTAAACGTACTAGAGAGCGCAAATCTTTCGGGTGTAGTAACAATTAACATACATTTAGTATACATGAAACTCGTATCATTTCTCCTTTCACTGAAAATATCGTATCGTAATGTCATATTATTAAGAACGATCTAGGTAATGGTTGTAAGATTTATTTTCATCGACTCGAAGCAAGAAAATGTACAATATGAATTAAACTCCTTACGTATCACTTATAGTGACAATCCTGCATTTTTACTGAAAAGTAAATCGTGTTTCAAATGTGGTCTTGCAGAGCCATTGAGTGAGCGTGGTTACGCTTCGGTAACTTGCGTAACTGTGTTGAACTATAAGGAGGTTTCATGACGTAATCAACACTCAACCTATAAATTGGTGCGTCTCTTGAGTTAAATGGACTGCCACTAGGACTTGTACGCCGGTCGCTCCTCAAACTGTATCTCTTATTGCTCTTCGCTTGTTCATTGGGTACTGATTTCTTCCCGGAATTGAATTCTGTGTTTATTTCCGATGGCATTGCTGGTACTGAAGCATCACGAGGATCCCCGCTAGCCGATGTGGTAGTTCGTGACTCCCCGTGTGCCAATCTTGGTTGTGTTGGACGCGCGCAATCTGCCGCATCTGATGAAATCCCGTCTCGATGCATCTGTCTTGCTGCTTGCTCTCCTGTGAAGAAACAAGAATAAGTGTTCTTTGCCTTAAATAATGCAATTAATAAAACAGAACCTTCAGTGAATCATTTGAAAATTGGTAATATGAAGACAGCACTCTAGAAATATCAATGGAAATGAATGAAATATCAATGGAACCTGAATTCGAATGAATTTTTCCAATGGGTAATGATAAATCAATGAGATTTTAATGTCCCATGAGTTGTAGGTACAAGGTGCAGAGTTTTGAATTACCTTTCGAACTTCTGTTTCTGAATCTAGAAACACAACGTCCAACACATGGTTATCCCAGGCGAAGATGAGGGTTGGCCATTAAAAAGTAGATGAATATGCGGAAAAACAAATCTTTCCTACGTCCTAAATTCAACACCAGATGGTTATTAGTGCCACTCTTCATACATAATAACAATCTTCAAAATGCCGGATACCTTGTGAATCAAGTCACGAGAAGTACAAGAATCGGCTACAGGCCAAGGGCCTAATCTTTAGTGCCGACATTTCTATTCTTTTCTGATATCTAAGGAATATAACTTTCCAGACACTATTTACTCGGACGTAAATGTTCTCAATGTATATCTGGAGATTATACCTATTTCGTACGAGGGAAAATTTTTTACCCTAAGACATTGAGATCTTCCAGGAAAAGCGCACCCGGAGTTCGTTTTGGGGGTACCACCTTGGACGGCTATCGAGCGCTGCCCACCTCGCTGCCGCTACCACTGTGCTACAGAGGTTACTTGAAGCTCTATTTTTTTTGTATGTGAACTTTCATATTTCGTTGAATGAAAGAATGAAAAAATATAACTCGGTACTCACTGTAGTAAGTGACACAGAGCTCATTTTCTCGTCCGCCCGTGACGTAAAGTCACGGACGGACATGACGAGCACAATAGCGCCTTTTTTCCGTAAATGAGAAAATACGCTAAAAAAACGTACCGTTGCCATACACGCGATGGCCCGTGTCGTTTCGACCACACAAAAGGCAGGAGCTGTCGCCCCGTTCGTCAGGAAACGTTGGCTCCAAGAAGAGCCGTGAGTTCTGATGATACTGGTGAACGCCTGGGGAATTTGCTGAATTAATATTTGTGGTTCATTCAAATCTTGTAAACGTAACGTTCCTAATAGAACACAGCGATATTATACTCTCTTATTTTTATATCTAATTCATATTTGCAGATCCTTCTTCACAAACGCAACAATATATTCAGGCTCCCCTTAACAACCATTCAGAAACAATCACGACTTAAGATTCACCATAACTATTTATCACACTAATGGTATTAGGCCCGTGATAGAATCGCAATTGATATCGAATGATTGACTGTAAAATATCATCGAAGAATGTCATAATGAATTAAAGAAACGGTAATTGCTGTAAGACAACCTAAGGCCGCTATGGAATGATAGCTTTTTTTGTCGTCCTTATTAACGTATAATTGGTTGGAGTGAATTTGAGAAAGCAGCTCAGCCACGACTCCGCAAGCAATCAAATGTTAGCCAAACACATTTGTTTGAATAAATAAATGCCGAAATGGAGCTTTAATTGAATGAAGAATATAGTTTTTTATTTACAAATCAATCCATCAGGTAAAAATACAAAAACATGTACATTTTCTTCTAAGGTGTGTTTGAATGTAAATTCAACTCTGCGAGTTCCGAAAAAGTTATTACCAATGATTAGCACGATTCTCAATGGGAAAAGCTGTGTCAAACAGCTGCGACCCGCCAGTTCAGTTCATGGTACTAAAAAACCGATTAGTTACGTGTACATAATTTTTTATTTATTTAAAAAGAATTATTGTACCTCTAGTCCCAAAATTTGATACTCACATTGATGCTTCAACGCCGTGGGCGGTCGTGGCAGAACAGCTGGTCCTCTTCGCTGGATAGTTCATTAAAAATTGTATTAGTACATAAATAGATTTATTAATCACGCATTGAACACCCTTCGAGAATCATAATTATCATATAATTTTTGCCAGAATTATCATCACCGTTAAACTTGAAAAAACTTAATAATAAACACCAAATGTCACACACACACACACACACACAAAAAAGATAAGTATAGTTAAATTGAATCTTGCATAATGTGGTTGAGGTAAAAAAATACATCAACTTACATAAGATTCATCAAAGGAGACGCTGGGACGTTCTTCATCTAATCTTCCATGCGCTCCACACGCAGCCACGCCGATGGTACCATCAGAAACTAAATTTTCATAGGCCTTCACTGCCCAACAGTTCCTGCCAGATTTACAAAAATTGCAAAATTTGTGGCCCTTTGGAGGATATTCCTTACCACAGAACTGGCACCAAAAATCGCCTCTGGGAGGTGATGGACGCATGGGGAACTTCTTTTTACAGAGCTCGTAACTAATGTCTGTCGTGTTAGTAAAATCGACTTCTGTAGTACCGGCGTCATGTAGTAGTGGAGAATTCCTACCAGAACTATTGCTACCATCAGCTTCTGGACAGTACTTGTAACTTCTCTGAATTTCATCATCAAAACGAACTCTCTTCTGACTCGAATCTAGGTTAGAAATGCGTGAATTGAACTTTGAAGAACATGGACTGGGTGTCGAGATGCGACTGTTGTCATAGTTTACGGCTGGAGGAACACTAATTTCCAAAACGGGCACGTCCTCAGGACTTGGCATGTCAACGAATATTTCTCTTTCATTGCTTTGCCGAACTTGCGATGCAACACGCACACTTTGATCGTAAATTGCTTCATAATAATTACATTTACGACCAGTCTTTACCTTGTCATGACTAACATGACTTTTTCTTCGACGTGAGGTGATGAGAGCAGGATCAGGTGATAGATGCTCACAACGTAGATGGGTTTTGAGCTGATTACCATTAGTCATAGTTTTCTTGTGCTTTGAAATAACATTTGAAACTGATTTCCTACCAGCTTCTACGTCACGAGCTGGTGGCTGTGGGGCAAATTCCTTTATATTTTTGGTAGCACACATTCTGTCAATTTTGCGGTCAATGATTTGTTGCTGCAGCGCTTTTCTCTTAGCCAATATATCCGATTCATCAGTGTTACCGTACAACGTGGATCCCCACGCTGGTCTCTGAATTAAATGCTGGCACCGAAGATGGGTCTTCACTTGTTTCCCACACGCTAAATCTTTCTTGTGTTTGGCATGACAATTTTTCTTCCTTAGACTGGAATTTTGGTGGGCAAATGCCTGTCTTGTAATTGGAGAAGAGTTACCAAAACGAGGACTGACATTTGGAGCCTGAGGTCGAGAATGAAGAACTTTAGCTGATGGACGTCTGATCACTCCAGGCATATTTGCGGTTGGACAATATTAAAAACTATAAATTTTTTCTGTATTTAAAAATCTTTTGAGTATAATGTGCAGCTTTACTAAGTTAAAACAAAAAATTGAGTTTACCCTGTAAGATAAAAGTAATTCCGTTAGGTCAAATTTGCTGTTCTTCACATACAAATATTAATGGTATCTATGCTACATAAAATTGATTGAAATTGATTCCTCAAAATACTCATCAAATGTATCTGAAAACTAAAAACATTTTCACTTTATTTCCTTTTGATTACTATGCATATACCATAATACCAGTGAAGTATCATGGAGACCAGAATTATCATACATCGATACTGAATAAAATTTTGAATTAGATCTGGCAATTAAAAAAAGATTTGGTTTCTAAAATATCTCTTGTGTGCCACTATGAAGTATGGACTCTGCCATGCAACATTTAGTCAACTATTCAAAAACAAATATAGTAAGCACATCACTCAGAACTCTAAAACTTACAATATGCAAATGCTGAAAATATCCGAATGTTAAGGAAAGAATTTTTTGAAAGCATCTGAAGATCTTTACAGATTACACTATTATTCTCAACAGCAACACCTCATCAAAGACTATAATCATGATAATTAAAAAAATACAATCTTTCTTCAACAAAAAGTAAAATATATAATATTGAAATTTGTAAGTCACTGTTCATTTATTTCTATTTTATCCTCCCATTAATAATTTATTTCTGCCATCATTCTTCTTTCAGAATGCCAACACATTTCAAATATTTTTTTTTTGCAATCTCAATCCTTGCCAGAGGTGCTAGCTCTAGCACTCCATTCCACTTCTCACATGTTTTCTCATACAGTCATACTCCATTTTTCATATTGAACAATTAACAATAATAGCAAAACTGTGATTTTAGATGTTACTTGAAACAGAAGTTTCAAGGCTGTTACGATCTTATCATCTTGCAACTGCAATCTGATTGATCAGGGTAGAATATCAGATATGATGGTTCATAGTTTTAGTTGGATACAACTGGGCAACTAGGTTACGGTACTTTATAGTTTATACTTGCTCAATCAAAAAATATCAGCTCAGCGCTCAAGTGAGTTCAGTTGATATAGGGCAAAATTTTCCAAAATCATGGGTAAAAGACATCATTTCACAGGGTTTTTTGAAAATCACAAGCAAAAAGGTGCTGTGTTACACTTTTTTTTGATTTTTACTTAAGAAACTAGGTAAGGACCATAGAAACTAGTGAAATAGAAAGCATGATTTTTGTCTCATTTAAGTGGGTGGCTTCTGTCTGATTTTCCAGGCAGAAAATTATAAATAGGTAAGATCTTGAGTTGTATAGGCAAATTTGGAGTCCATACTCCATAGACTCATAAGTGGAGTCCATAGACTCCAAAGAAGGACCAAAATAAGGAAATGAACAATAAACAGCATTCCTGTTGTAACATTTGGGAACAACCTCAGGGGTAACCAAAGCCCAATGCTCACAGAGCACCTTTCAATGTGCAGGCAGCTAATTTTTGCCTTAGCTTTTAGGTATTAGTTAAAGGCTGCACAGAATGCAACTCTTTTGCAATCTGTCGTGAATGCATAAATCAACGTACAGTGATGATTTTGGCCTACCATAGAATAGGTCAGAATTTAGAATTTCAGCTTCAAGATGAGCATAAAAACAGGAAAAGCAGAAATTTTTCATTTTTGACATGCTCCCCTCCACTATGCAGAGGGTGGATGCAGCGTCGGCAATATATGGATTTTTAAGCCCAAAGCGTCGCCGGCCATTTTAAAGATGCGTCGCCGGGTAATTTTTAATGAAAAGCCATTTACGCTGAGTAATGACGAACTATTTACAAGCCACGAACTTATTACAAGGTTGCATGCACGTGTTACCCCAAATAACTAATTTTACCCTAAAAACAGTCCGGTTGTACAGCAAGTGTCAACTGAACAAGTAATAAAGCAGTCTGACCGCTCTAATGCAACTGAAACTTCGCAATCAAAAAAATGTTGTTTACATTTTTTGCGGGAACTCATCGCAACTGATTTCCGGACAAGCTTCGCTGTATCGTAATCCATCCAACGTACCGGAAACCTTACTTTTTTTCTAAATAGTTGGCTGAAGACTGAGAAATATATTAAATGCAAGAATTTCAATCTAAATGTGTCGGCAAGATCTTCTGAAGGCAAAAATTTTGCCGATAATGCGTCGCCGTAGGTCTTTAAATCTTCGTTCACTCTCTGCACAGTGGGCTCCCCTTAACGGTGAAATTGGTGATGTTTAGCCCAGAGCCCGTGACAATTTTTTTGACAATTTACTGATTCACAAGTTATACAGATATATACGGAGAAATGACCATACCTAATTTCTGTGGCTGATTTAAGGGGAGCGTCTACCCTAAAATTGAAAATTTTCACTTTTTCGGTTTTTATACTCATTTTAAAGCTGACATTCTGCCCTATCCAACGGTACCACTGCCATATCTGTACGTTGATTTATGCGTTCACGACAGATCATGAAAGGGAGGGGATTGGGTAGTTCTTTAACAAATTGAATGGGAGGAAATTCGCTGCGAGCACTTTAAATAGAGTGTCTGCTTGAAGTGCATCTTAGTTACCCGCCTGGCGTCGTATGAGGAGGTGTGCATGCAGTCGCTCCCACCATCCTTGACTGGAATCAAGCTCCAGTAACGTTTAGTTTCGTATCCTTGCTACATTGAGTGCCTGTTCTGATGCGCGCGGGACTTTGACGGGCTCTACTGAAAAGTTAACTTATTGTCACTGCAAACCTATCTCCTCCTAGAGTTTTTAAGCTACATCAATGAGACATATACCATTCGATTAGAAAATGAAAGATCTACAAACGTCACTTTGTCGTTTTTCCAATTTCGTTATAGTTTGGATTTTATTTTGCAAAAAGTGGGGGAGGGCGGGGGTAAAATCAAAAAATTTCGAAAAATATCGGAAAAAATGCTCCCACACCCACAAAAATGAGAAATCCAAAAAACCGCTAAGTGACGTTTGTAGATATGGTCTTTACGCATCGAATGATACGTTCCTCGATATTGTAGCTTTAAAATCCTAGGAGGAGATAGATTTCTACAGTACCCCCTTTTTTGGCCGTTTTCCAAGAATTTCACGTTTTCTTTCATTTTTTTTGAAAAATTCACAGGAACAAAAATGTCTTAGAATTCTGTTTTACATATGTGTACCAAGTTTCAGAGTGATTGGTCTGTGAATAGCCGAGATAAATTTTACCCTAGACGCTCCCCTTAATATTTGCACGGAAAAAGAGCCATCAGCGGATGATCAGCCGTTTACGTATATCCGTATAACAGTATAGGCTAACAGCTAACTTGCAAAAGAAGACAAAATAAAAAAAATTGTCACAAGCAAAACTTCACTGTTGGGTTGTCACTACTTGTCAGGCTTGTTTGCTTGTAGCCTTGTAGGTAGGCCTAGGTTAGGTATATTCAAATTTTAATTAAAATCTGTTCAGCAGTTTAGAAGAAAATTTTTGCTCACTGCAAATCTCTGCATAAAATTCCCTAATAACTCACCAATAAAGGTGAAATTAAAAAATTTGCAAACAAAGGTTAAAATGAAAAAATTGACACAAGCTAAAGTGCTAAACATCACCGTTGTTACTTGTTAGGTCACTTAGGTTAGGAATGTATACCTATTCAAAGTTTTGTTCAAATCTGTTCAATAATTTTTAAAAGAAATTTCTTGGTCTGTGCAAATTTTGGCCCAAATTGGCCTATATTTCCCGAATGAAGGTGAAATAGAAAACTTTCACGAGCTGAACAGCACCCTAGGTCTTAATGAGTTGTACCAACTACCAAGTACTACCAACTTTCATCGAGCTACGTTCGGGAGATATTCCTTGCTTGAAATTGGAACTGGGGTGCGTGGTGACCTCAGGTCATGACCTTTAAATAGGTCATAGTCATACACGCTGCATAAAAGCTCTTTTACTAGCATCCTTGGTGAGGCTTGGTCACTGAATTTGGAGATTGCCCGTGGCCGTGGGCCCGTGAGACCGGCCTTAAATTTGTCCGACATCTATGATCAGTTACAGTTTTTGTTGGAGAACAGCAACTCAGCCTGCTGAGCGCAGTATGTGCCAATTGGCGATACTTGTGTTATCGGCAATCATTACTCTCACGTACAGGAGCTTATTTACTATTGTACATTTCCAAAATTCCAAGTTGTCAGTACTCACGTCTCGGACCAATTTATGGCCGTACTTGCGGCCCAGCCTCTGCGATTCCACCACGTCCACGGCACAACTCATTCTCAATGACCCACGCCACCTACGATTTTTGAAAATTTGAACTTTAAATATTATGTGACCTGGAAGCGTGTTCTATAGAAAACTATAACGTACAATTTCAAGATGATAACGTTTTTTTTGTTCAAAAATTTGATCGTTTTTATTTTATTTGGGTTACGTTTCGTTAGCGCAATCTGTGTTTCACTTGTTTGTTTACGTTTTAGCTCAGCTGACTTGTAATAACATTGCCTACGCTTATTCGTGATGCAAGTCGAAAGATAGTAGGATGCATTTCGTCCAATTGTTTCGATCTGTAGCATGTTTACAGATTATATCAAATTTTTTGATAATTTTTAATAATGCTTATAACATTTTCGAAGAATCTCCTACATTTTTGCATCGAAAGTATGGAAAAATGTCGGACGATGAGCAACAAAATTTGTTGCAGGCAACTAAGGAAATGTTCTATTTTGGTTATCGAAATTATATGAAATATGCCTACCCTGAAGACGAACTAGACCCTATTCACTGTGCTGGTAGAGGCCATGATCATGCAAATCCGTAAGTCATTTTGTGTTGTATTTTTTACAATTCACATTTTTTGCTTATATTTTAAATTTATAAGGTATTAAGGTTGAATGATAAACTAACGTAGGTATTCAATAATTACTATTAATATTATATAATTACCACTCCATAAAATAGTGATTAAGCTCTAGTTAAGGCTTGAATACTGACCACTATGCAGAGGGTGGATGCAGCGTCGCCAATATATGGATTTTTAAGCCCAAAGCGTCGCCGGCCATTTTAAAGATGCGTCGCCAGGTAATTTTTAATGAAAAGCCATTTACGCTGGGTAGTGACGAACTATTTACAAGCCACGAACTTATTACAAGGTTGCATGCACGTGTTACCCCAATTAACTAATTTTACCCTAAAAACAGTCCGATTGTACAGCATGTGTCAACTGAACATGTAATTAAGCAGTCTGACCGCTCTAATGTGACCAAAACTACGCAATCAAAAAAGTGTTGTTTACATTTTTTGCGGGAACTCATTGCAACTGATTTCCGGACAAGCTTCGCTGCATCGTAATCCATCCAACGTACCGGAGACCTTACTTTTTTTCTAAATAGTTGGCTGAAGACTGAGAAATATATTAAATGCAAGAATTTCAATCTAAATGTGTCGGCAAGATTTTCTGAAGGCGAAAATTTTGCCGATAATGCGTCGCCGTAGGTCTTTAAATCTTCGTTCACTCTCTGCACAGTGGAATACTGAATAGGTAGCAGATAGATTCCTTGCCAGATTGAATGTATCAATCTTTTGAGCTCCTACTCTAAAGGTAGTGATAGGTAGGCAGTAGCCTAAATACATTTTTCCAGCCATTTTTGGAATTGCTATTTGCTAGCCATTTTAAATTGCTTTTTTTCCAGCCATTTTTGGAATTACTACTTAGCCGCTATATTTAAATAAAATTACTATCTAAATATTAATAAAATTTTACAATTGGGCTACAAAACTCCGGATATTATGAAAATTTCTCATTTTGCAGCTGGAAGATTTTAGTTAGTAGGAAAATTCCTTCCCGGGAACAATTTTCAGATAATTGGTTAATGACAGAGGCAAGTTAACATGGCTTCACAATCTAATGCAAATCAGAATCTGTATTAAATTTTTTAAGGAGGCAATTTGAAGTGATTGTTACTTAATTTAAGTAACTGCATAATGGTAATGAGTTCATTAGTTTTTTACTATAGAGTTATTATTTGTTAATTTGTAAATGTTCACTGTTCATCAATGGTAGGCTGGTAGCTACCTATTGTACTGCTGATGTGAGAAATAATTTTTTTTTTCAGGGAGAACATCAATATCAATGATGTGCTTGGTGATTATTCCCTCACTCTCATTGATGCCCTGGATACACTAGCAATCATTGGAGACCGAGAAGAATTTCAGCGATCAGTACAGCGAGTCATTGAAGATGTAACCTTTGACAAAGACACAACTGTGCAAGTCTTTGAGGCTACTATTAGGTATGTAAATATTCTTTTTAGCGCATTTTATCATTTATGGAAAAAATGCACTATTGTGCTTGCCATGTCCATCCATCGGTCTGTCTGTCTGTCTTTCCGTCTTTCCATCCGTCTGTCCGTGACCTCAAGTTCTTGTCGACAAGAAAATGCGCTCTCTGTCACTCACTGCAGTGAGTACTGAGTTATATTTTTTTTGTTACGAGTTTGTTGTTTGAACTTTTTAACACATTCCTTCAGCAACAACAGCAATACGTAGTGTAGCAGGTGTCCAGTGGTGACTGATGAAACCAAATTATGTCCATGATTTTAGAATTCTATTTTCACATGAACAATAAAAATATATAAATGTTATTTTAATTTATGCTTGTAAGACAAATTCAAATCATGTTCAAGGATGGTAATTTTTAATAGTTTTTTAATGATTTTATACTTTAATTTACTCTTTTTTTACAGCTCAAATGACTTGTTCTTATGTAAGTTATGAACAATCTTTGTTAACAATGTTCTTCTATTTACTGTCTTTTAGTAGTACCTATTCTGATTCATTTAGAATATTCAAGAAAGTATTGTGTTTGCCACTAGATAATCTAAGCTTTGCCTTCATAAACTTAAACAATTCTGTGATTCCAGAGTGTTGGGAGGACTTCTTTCTGCTCATCTGCTCATAGAAGACCCAGTCCAGAGACTTGGAGACCTGCGTCCGGAGTGGTACAATGGAGAGCTTCTGGACATGGCTTCTGACTTGGCAGCAAGACTTCTTCCTGCCTTCTCACTCAGTCCGACTGGCATTCCACATCCCAGAGTTTGTTCCCAATTCATTCTGTATCTAAGATTTTTTGTGTATTTATCTACTGCTGCATTTGATTAAGGTAAAAAATTTTCACTGTTGCTTTGTTTGCTTAAATGCTTAGAGCTTGAGTACATAGTAAGATATTAGTTTCTAGGCAATGTTCAATGATGCTTTACTCTCAATCATAGTTATGGAAACAATATAATCTTGATCAATTCCAAATCAAGTTAAGAGGTTCCAATAATTTTGATTATTGAACTATGTTATGTTTCGTTATGTTATTTGTGAATCATTCACATGAGTGCCATATATGACTTTTTTAATTCTTAGTCAAGGCCTTCTAGTATGTATGTGATACATTAATGGAGTTGGATCACGCTTGATAATGTAGTTCTAGGGTTGGTCACATCAAATAATAGTTCGTCAGCCCTGTCGCCAATTTTGAACATCATTGAGATAGGTATTATCAGCTTGCTACAAATTTAAATATGAAAGTTGCTGCATCAATTTTGCTGTGATTTCAGCCAAAATTTTTACAGTTTGCTTCAGGCATCAAACCCATGACTTGCTGCTTTTTTCTTTGGTATCTTAACCACTTGGAAGTTGTGCCAAATTTCATGTAAACTTCCTGACATGCGCAGGTCAACCTTCGTTCAGGCGTGCCCTACGGAGGGCGTACAGACACGTGCACTGCAGGTGCAGGCACGCTGCTTGTAGAGTTTGGTATCCTGTCGAAGCTGTCAGGAGATCCTACATACCAGCTTGCTGCCAGACGTGCGAGCAGAGCTCTGTGGAATCGAAGGCATAATACCACTGAACTCCTAGGTATAACTGAACTATATATACCTACTTGCTATGTTTATCTGCCAACATTGATATTGTTTTCCAGTGCTATATTATCAATGAAATAATGTGAATAATTTTCACGCTATCAATTATGGAGTGTGAAAACTTTGAACACTTTTATTTTCACAAACACATGTAACATTTTTCTGCAAATTATCATCATTAGTTCACAATAGAAAAAAATTCCGGTGGGTTTTCATGACCTTATTCGATTCTTCAATTTGATGATGGTAATAAGCTCTCAAATTATAAAAATCAAGTAATTACGTTACTTGTTGTACAGGTAACGTACTTGATGTGAACACTGGCAAGTGGATGAGCGAGTTGAGCGGCGTGGGCGCGGGGCTTGACAGCTTCTACGAGTACATGCTCAAGAGCTACGTCCTCTTTGGGGAGAGGGAGGACTACGATATGTTCAATGTGTCCTACTCACGCATCAAACAATACATGCGCAGAGGGTGAGATTCCATTTTTGTGTCTTTTTAGCGCATTTTCTCATTTATGGAAAAAAGACGCTATTGTGCTCGTCATGTCCGTGACTTCACGTCACGGACGGATGAAAAATGCGCTCTCTGTCCCTAACTGCAGTGAGTACTGAGTTACCTATACCTATTTTTTACTTCAGATCATAGCAGAAGTAATTTTTCAAAATATCACTTGTCAACATTTTTTTTCAAAGATTTCTTAAAGCTAGTAAATGTATGATTTTTTCACTTCCCTTATGCTACATGAAAAGAAAAAAGGTTGAAGTTTACGCCACTATTTTTAGTATTGCAATATTTCAATTAGTATCGCTGCAATAACATTTTTACGTCGTGGCGGAGGACTGCTTTGATTTACCCCGCCCGTCCCTAATTACCCCGTTTGACGGTATGTCTGGTTGCTCCATTAAATTGTAAGCTACACTGATTGAAGAGATTTTAATTTCATCCAATGTATAACATTTCCCAAGTGCACATCATTTTATTCTTGGCATTTTATTTGATTTTCAACCTATCATGAAATTATTAAATTTATTTTCTCTGGGCGACCATCCCCTGTACGTGAACGTGCACATGAGCAGCGGCGGCACGCACACCTCGTGGATTGACTCCCTTCAAGCCGCCTTTGCCGGCCTCCAGGTAAACCAGGTAGAGGGTTATGCAAGGGTTAAGAGGGTTAAGTAGTGGGTTAATCAAGAGTTAAGATGGTTAAGTTATTTAGGTATATATAGAGGGTTAAGCAAGGGTTAAGTAGTGGGTTAAGCAAGGGTTAAGAGGGTTTAGCAAGGGTTATGAGGGTCAAGTTATTTTAGGTAGAGGGTTAAGTAGTGGGTTAAGCGGGTTGAGTAAAGGTTAAGAGGGTTAAGTTATTTTAGGTAAAGGGTTGAGCGTTAGGCTAATTTCTCTGGACAGCCGGGGTTATTTTATGTGTACGGTTAACTGTTATGCGAATCTTCTCAAGCTGCAGTTCAACACGTTCTTGAACAGTTCTCTCGTTTTGATGAAATTCTTGATGCATGTATTCTTCATTTTTTTTGAGATAATTAAAGGTATTCTTATATGTCTTCCTATGACTCATAATTACCCCTTCAGTCTGATTCAAATATTTGATTTTATCATGAATAATTACAGCATTAGAATATGAATAGAGAAATTATATGTTGTCCGTGTGCTAGGTGCTCGCGGGTGACGTGGAGGAGGCCATCTGCACGCACGCGCTGTACTGGAGCATCTGGCAGAGGTTCGGTGTGCTGCCAGAGCGCTACAACTGGCAGAGGGCATCACCAGACGTACTCTTCTACCCTCTCAGACCTGAGTTTGCAGAGGCTACTTATCTTCTCTACCGTGTGCGTGCATAATGTACTTCTTATCAGTTAATATTTTATAAGACTTCTCATCATGGCAGAGAGCTTCTCCAGACGTACTCTTCTACCCTCTCAGACCTGAGTTTGCTGAGGCTACTTATCTTCTCTACCGTGTGCGTGGATAATATACTTCTTATCAGTTCATATGACTTCTTATCAGTTCATATAAGACTTCTTATCAGTTAATATTTTATAAGACTTCTCATAATGGCAGAGAGCTTCACCAGACGTACTCTTCTACCCTCTCAGACCTGAGTTTGCTGAGGCTACTTACCTTCTCTACCGTGTGCGTGCATAATATACTTCTTATCAGTTCATATGAGGCTTCTTATCACTTCATATGACTTGTTATCAGTTCATATAAGACTTCTTATCAGTTCATAAAGACTTCGTGTCAGTTCATTTAAGACTTCGTATCAGTTCATATAAGACTTCTTATCAGTTCATATAAGACTTCTTATCAGTTCATATAAGACTTCGTGTCAGTTCATTTAAGACTTCGTATCAGTTCATATAAGACTTCGTATCAGTTCATATAAGATTTCTTATCAGCTCATACAAGACTTCGTATTGGTTCATATAAGACTTCTTATCAGTTCATATAGGATTTCTTATCAGTTCATATAAGACTTTTGATCGATTATTAAAAAAATTCTCAGTTCATATAATCAAAAATATATCTATGTAATCTCAGTTCCAAAAAATCAGTTCATATAAGGTCGAATAATCAACAGTTCGGCTGTATTAACTGCCTTTATAAGGGCTACTTTCGGCTTAATAAATTGTACTGTTGTGTAGTCCCTCTAATTTATTTGGTTTGTTGTAATACTGTTTCTGAAGTTTTAATTTCTCTCACAGATATAACCTATAAACTATATTATTTCTAATAAATATCTGAGGTTTAAGTTTCTTATTAGATTAACAATATGTATCTTGCTACTCTAAAGTCAAAATATTCATTTGTTTCTGCTGTATGTTTTGAAGAATTAAAATGAAGTTTAAATGAGGGTTTTTAGCACATTTTCTCATTTATGAAGAAAATGCACCATTGTGCTCGTCATGTCCGTCCGTATGTCTGTCCGTCCGTCTGTCTGTCCGTCCGTCTGTCTGTCCGTCCGTGACTTCACGTTTTCGTCGACGAGTAAATGCGCTCTCTGTCACTCACTACAGTGAGTACTGAGTTATGATTTTTTCTCTAGAGTCAAAATATTAATTTTTTTCTGCTGTATGTAAATTTTAAAGAATTTACATGAAGTTGAAATTAAGTTTTCTTCAATACAGGCGACACGCAACCCTTTCTACCTGCACGTTGGCCGCGAAATTCTACACTCCCTGAACAACCTGACGCGCGCTGAGTGCGGGTACGCTACTGTACACTCTGTGATCGACGGCTCTCTGGAGGACAGGATGGAGTCCTTCTTCCTCTCAGAGACCTGCAAGTATCTTTACTTGGTGAGGGATACGAGACTATATCAATTTATAATTTATACGTTTACTTTGTGAGGGATACGAGACTATATCAATTTATAATTTATACGTTTACTTGGTGAGGGATACGAGACTATATCAATTTATAATTTATACGTTTACTTTGTGAGGGATACGAGACTATATCAATTTATAATTTATACGTTTACTTGGTGAGGGATACGAGACTATATCAATTTATAATATATACGTTTACTTTGTGAGGGATACGAGACTATATCAATTTATAATTTATACGTTTACATATAAATACCTTTACTTGGTGAGGGATGCGTTTACTTGGTTAGAAGTACGTGTACTTAGCAAAAAATATCTTAATTATTAAGAAATTTCTCTACCTGAATTACCTTAATTGATAAGAGACAGTTTTGCTTGGTAAGAAAGACCTTTAATTGATACGAAATACTGTCAGTTGGTAAGAAATACATTCAACTGGTAAAACATGCCTGTACCTCTTAACTCATTGCCTATGCAGACATTTACCGTTGTCAATACTATCCGTACATAACAGCCTTGGACATAACAGACTTTTAACGATAGGTAATTGATAAGAGATACAGCCATTTGGTAAGAAATACCTTAAATTGATACTAAATACTGTCAGTTGGTAAAAAATATCTTTAACTGGTAAAAACATACCTGTACCTCTTAACTCATTGCCTATGCAGACATTTACCGTTGTCAATACTATCCGTACATAACAGCCTTGGACCGAGAGGTCCCATCACGGATGGAGCCTCTCGTTCCCCATCAGTATTCAAGGGGTTAAATAATACCTCTGTTTAGTAATAAGTACAATTTCTTGTTTGAAATGCCTGCTCTTGGTGTCATAAGGTTCCAGGCGAATGTTTATAGGTTTTTAAATGGGTCCAAAATCAGCCGACCGATCCGGAGTTCTGTTTCCTGTTCATCGTGTCGTCGTCGCTGTTTCTGCAAGCTCTGTTGCTCTGTGATTTTTTGGCACTCTGTCGTTCTGTTTGTAAACACGTTGCAAAAACATTTATGGGTTTACTAATAGGTTGTTAATGCAGCTGCCAGAGCGCTCGATGAATAGGTTCCCTCGCGGAGTAAATTAGGGTTAAAGTCACCAAGTTAAAGATAATATTGCACCTGGTTTAATGGATTTGAGATCCACCACGATTTATCCAAAAGAGTTTTGATGGTTTATGGGATCCAAATCCACTGCTATTTCTTCAGAAAAGTTTTGATTATGCAGGCTGAGGGGGAGCAGCAGGAGCATTTCTGCCCTAGTATGTGGGGATGGGTTCTTGAGAGCCTCTAGGATACGGTTAATCCTAGAGAAAATTATTCAACGAACTGGCGCGCTATCACCGCTTCGGCTCGATAGCCACGTCTCAGGTAGGTAGGCTTGATGTTGTTGATAAAGTTGATGTCGTTCATTAAGTTCTCATTGTCAATGACATCTTGAAGCCATGGTTGTTAACAGAAACTATTGCCTAGGCCTATTGTGCAGCTGAAAACAATGACTGATGTAGCAACATTGTAACTAAATTTCACATCTTCTGAAGTTCGCAGCTTTCATTTTCTCCCGTTTGTGTTCCTTATCTACTTTGAAGCCGGTAGCTTTTTTTTGTTACTGAGAATGGTTTAAGAGGTACGCTAGTAATATTATTTATTCATGAACCTTCAAGGATTTTAACGATAAGATAATCGTTTCCCCCTTCAGCTGTTAATGTTTTTTTATTACAGAGACTGTTTTGAAAGGTACTGTATTGATATAATTTTGGTGCTGTACTTGAACCATGCAAAATACTATTAATATAACATTATATGGGCAGCTGTTTGACCACAACAACCCTGTCAACTTGGGGTCGGGCCAGTTCCTGTTCACCACCCAGGGCCACGTGGTGCCTCTGGGGCCCTGGCTGCGGGACAAGACCCTGTGGGACGAGGCCCACTTCACGCCAGAGGCCCACAAGGCGGTTAACCTCTCCGACTCGAACGTATGGACGCCGGGGGTGAGTCTGACTTTCAGGAAATTATTCGTAAAAATTTTTAGTGAAAAATTTTTAGTGAAAAATTTGTAGAAAAAATTTTTAGTGAAAAATTTTTAGAAAAAAATTTGAGTGAAAATTTTTTAGAAAAATTTTTAGTGAAAAATAACAAAGAAAATTTTTAGTGAAAAATTTTGTCTGGAACGTATGAACGCCTGGGGTGAGCTCTGACTTTCAGGAAATTATTCATAAAATTTTTAGTGAAAACATTTTTTTTAAGCTCAGAAGATTAATTGTGTCTTGGAAAATTATCGTACATTGATCCCGGAGTTGTCAAGAATAGATTAAATATTTCAGATGACTAGTATTTTCAGGCTGGATAGTCATCTAAGTATAAATAAATGAATAACAAATATAAATATACTTGTCTTTGTTGCTAAAGAATTATTTTTCAGTGCGATGCAGTAGACCAAGCGCGGCAATTTGGTCTGCCCCTAGAGAGCCACTATCTGCAGCAGGTCTATTCTGCCGTCGGTCTACACTCCTGACCTTATTTGCTGGTCTATTCTGCCGTGGGTCTACACTCCTGATTTAATATATTATTACATGGGCAGCTGTTTGACCACGACAACCCTGTTAACTTGGGGTCTTTCCACATTTAGCTGTTTTTTTTTAATATTTTGAAAGGTACTGTATGAACTGGTATTTGGTACTGTAATTAAATAATACAAAACTGGTATTAAAGATAACAAACACTACATGAGCAGCTGTTATATAATTTTGGTACGTGAATCATGCAAAATATTAAAGATAACATTATATGGGCAGCTGTTTGACCACAACAACCCAGTTAACTTGGGGTCGGGCCAGTTCCTGTTCACCACCCAGGGCCACGTGGTGCCTCTGGGGCCCTGGCTGCGGGACAAGACCCTGTGGGATGAGGCCCACTTCACGCCAGAGGCCCACAAGGCGGTTAACCTCTCCGACTCGAACGTATGGACGCCTGGGGTGAGTCTGACTTGCAGGAAATTATTCGTAAAAATTTTTAGTGACAAATGTTTAGAAAAATTTTTTAGTGAAAAATTTTTAGAAAAACATTTTAGTGAAACATTTTCAGAAAAAATTTTTAGTGGAATTTTTTTAGTGAAAAATTTCTAGAAAACATTTTTAGTAAAAAATTTTTAGAAAAAATTTTTAGTGAAAAATGTTTAGAAAAAAATTTGTAGTGAATAATTGTGTGAAAAAATTTGTAGTAAAAATTTTTGACTCGAACGTATGAACGCCTTGGGTGAGTCTGACTTGCAGGAAATTATTCGTAAAAATTGTTAGTGAAAATTTTTTTTCAAGCTCAGAAGATTAATTGTCTTTGAAATTATCGTACATGCCAATGATCCCGGAGTTATCAAGAATAGATCAAATATTTCAGGTGACTGGTATTTTCAAGCTGGATAGTCATCTAAGTAGGAATAAATAAATAAATAAAAATATACATGTCGTCAAGAATTAAATGTTTCAGATGACTAACTTTGTCAAACTTGATAGTCATATAAGTATAAATAAATAAACAATAAATATAAATATACTTTGTTGCTAAAGAATTTTTTTTTTCAGTGCGATGCAGTAGACCAAGCGCGCCAATTTGGTCTGCCCCTTGAGAGCCACTACCTGCAGCAGGTCTATTCTGCCGTGGGTCTGCACTCCTGACCTTATTTGCTGGTCTATTCTGCCGTAGGTCTGCACTCCTGACCTTATTTGCTGGTCTGTTCTACCGTGGTCTGCATTCCTGACCTTATTTGCTGGTCTATTCTGCCGTGGTCTGCATTCCTGACCTTATTTGCTGGTCTATTCAGCCGTGGGTCTGCACTCCTGACCTTATTTGCTGGTCTATTCTGCCGTGGGTCTACACTCCTGACCTTATTTGCTGGTCTATTCTGCCGTGGTCTACACTCTGTCTCTTATACACATCTAGATGTGTATAAGAGACAGATCCAACGGTACCACTGCCATATCTGTACGTTGATTTATGATTTCACGACATTTCATGAAAGGGGGGCGGGTGGGGGAGTTCTTTAAGTAATTAGATAGGAACTAATTAGCTGCTGAGCTCTTTAAGTATAGTGTCTACTTGAGTTGTGCTGCAGTTACGTGTTTAGTCTCATCTTAAAGCTGACATTCTGGCCTATCCAACGGTACCATTACCATCTCTGTACGTTGATTTGTACGTTCACGACACTTCATGAAAGGAGGGCGGGGGGAGAGTTCTTTCAGTAATTACATAGGAGCTAATTCGCTGCCCAGCACTACAAATACAGTGTTTCTATGAGGTCTGACTCTGTGTGCCTCCGGGCTTTGTAGGGAGAGATGCGCATGTAGTTGCTCCCATCATCCTTGAGTGGAATCAAGATCCAGAAACGTTTAGTTTGGTATCTATGCTACATTGAGCGCCTATTGCAGTGCGCTCGGGACTTTGTCGGGCTCTCCTCAACATTCACACTTATTGTCACGGAAAACCTATCTCCTCCTAGAGTTTTTGAGCTACAACAATGAGACATATACCATTCGATGCGCAACAAAATTATCTAGAACGGATGGCAGGCTNTGTAATGAATGATGTGCTGTAATGAATGATGTGCTGTAATGAATGATGTGCTGTAATGAATGATGTGCTGTAATGAATGATGTCCTGTAATGAATGATGTGCTGCAATGAATGATGTGCTGTAATGAAATTTTTGTGTAGTTACTTGCGTTTAAGGTTTATTTTTATAAACTGATCGTTACTGCAAGTGAAATGAATGTATTTAAAATGGGCGTCTCGATAACCTACATCTGTAGTATACAGGAATACATATACTGGTTGAGATAAATGCATGGTGTTTTATATTTATTAAAAAATAATGTTATAAAAATGTGCCTGTCCGCCACATTGCCTTATCTTTTTCGAGAAACACTTTTTCGTTGTGGTAGGATTGAAATTTGTACAGCATAAATAATGCTGTTTTGATGGTGAGGGTTTTTAGCGCATTTTCTCATTTATGAGAAAAATGCACTATTGTGCTCGCCATGTCCGTCTGTCCGTCCGTCCGTCTGTCTGTCCGTCTGTCCGTGACTTCACGTTTTCGTCGACGAGAAAATGCGCTCTCTGTTACTCACTGCAGTGAGTACTGAGTTATATTTTTTCGAAATGGGTACCTTCATTCGAAATACGTTTTTTTCGAAGTACATTCCACAAAAAACCACAAGGCAGCAGTACTAACGTCAATATATAAACTTTAAAGTGCGAGTGTCTGCATTGTTTATTTTCTCAGTCACCTCTATTTATTAATTAATTAATATACTCAATTGTGTGATTTGAGTTTCGCATTATTTCAGTTGGATTTTGATTCACTGCGATTTGATGTTGTGTTTCGGCTTTCATTGTACTCGCATATTTAGTTTTTTGATAACGTTTATGTAGTCTAAGACTGCGGTAATATCACACTAAGACTGCGTAAATATTATATATACAGAGTATGAATTTATTTTCCATGCATAACATGTATGTTTTTGCCATGAACGATGACGGATAAACTTTTTTGGTTAATTAGTTTTGGAAATAAAAATAACATAACCTTGGAAGTAAACGTAAAATAAATTCTGAAGAGGTTAAAGCAGCATTGCTCTAATAGTGCTGATAATGTTAGGTAAAGGTAATGAAATATCAGCTTTTAAATTAACAAGAAATGATTTTAAATTAGCAAGAAATGAGCATGAAGTGTTGAGTGATAATTTCGTGCTAATATTTTTATGCTGGAGCTTGTTAAGTAAATGTAGACCGCCTAGCTGCCAAATTTGTGTATAGACCTTTAAAATTTTTGCTCAATTTGAATTATCGGATAAGCTTGTTGTAAATATTTAATCTTTTGCATTTGCATTTGCCTTTTCTAGCTCTTTATGAAGGAATCTTGCAATGTTAATGTTGCAATTTAATCAAAGTTTGTAGAAGTTATTAGTTGCGTGGGAGAAGCATCCACCAACTTTCAATATTCATGTTTGATAATAAGATTGCGATTTTCTAGGTTTTTTATATTTATATTAACATTTATTTCCTTCTATTTTTCTAAAACGTGATAAAAGAAAAATTTGTAGCTTTGAACTTCCCCGTTACTTTCATTGCGTGCGTATATATAATGGCCATAAGAACTTGAAAACTTCTGTATATATCAATTAGGTATATTATATGATATTATTATCTGAATTAAAATATTTTTACTACAATTTTGTTAAATGCTCGTAAATTTTCTGACGATTTGCACAAGTTTTTCAAAAAAATGACGAAAATCGCCCTGTACGAGTACGTTAAAATGTCAAGAAATTTCGTGAATTACAGGAATGAATTTTCGTAGCCTGAAAATTCTTAATTAATTTTCGATTTTAACAATATTTTTCGCATTGATAGTAAATCGTCAATTAACGATTTGTGACGTCATAGTAACGACACTTTTGTTTTGACTGGTAGTTTCATTAGCAACGAAACGATATTAAAGAATATTATAACAATAACAACAATTTTTGTTGTTACAACAACAATAACAAGTTTTATAACAATTTTTTGTCAGATTATTATTGAGATAAATTATTGTTTTAATGGAATTATGTACTGAATTTATTATATAAATCACTTTATTTTGTTTATCGAATTTCGTAGTGGCAGAAATTCTAGTATTGGATGTCAATAGATGTCGCGTCACTACAGCGGCTGTATAACAAGTAACAAAGTTATTGAGGTAGGAACAAATTTATTATTAAAATTGTTGACCTTAGCCTATACTTTCAAAAAAAGTTAAGAGATCGTAAGTTCATCAGCCAATCATTGACGACCTTTCAAGCAAAATCCACCAATCATAGACAAGAAAATAGAGCGTAAGTACTTCAAGCAAAATCCACCAATCATAGACAAGAAAATAGAGCGTAAGTACTTACGTTCACTTAATCATAGACAAGAAAATAGAGCGTAAGTACTTACGTTCACTTATAGCGCTAGCTAATGGGAAAGTTGGTGAAATATCGATTGCAAGATTTGATCATCACAGACACGAAAGCGAGCTAAGAAAAACGTGGTAATAATTAATATTAATTATTAATTATTAATATTAATTATTATTATTGATTATTATTATTAATTAATATTAATAATCAATCATCATATCAGATGATATTAAAGGACAACTGTATCTTTTAAAAGAGTTTTCCGTTGAGATATTTCATATCGTGAAATGAGTGATTCCAATTTAAATTGAGATAAACATTACCAATCAGGACGAATTAAATTTTATTTTGTATTTTCGATAATTCGCGAATTGTTTTTTGTTGACGTATTTTTCTTTTGAGTAATAGCAATATTATGAAAAAATTATTCTTTTAAGATCTATGATTACATTTTTGTTGTTTCTATTTGCGTGAGAAGAGTTAAAGGTGGACTGAAAAGGCCAATCAATTTTCAAGTGAAATCTGGGAGCTTTAAAGAAGCTACGTTTCGTGGGATAAATGTTTCTCAATTCTTCTGCAACGAATATATAAAATTAAAAATAAAAAAAAAATTGATAAAACGGTTGTTGACGTTGCCTGCGAATATATAAAATTGAAAATTAGAAAAAAATACTTGACGAAACGGTTGTTGATGTTGCCATCGTATATATAAAATTAAAAATTAGAAAAAAATACTTGATAAAACGGTTGTTGATGTTGCCTGCGTATATATAAAATTGAAAATTAGAAAAAAATACCTGATATAACGGTTGTTAATGTTGCCTGCGTATATACAGAGCCAAAAAAACTACTACTACTGCGCAACAGCAGGTCGCAGTCTCGCACGTATTAGAGTGAAGTATCGAGTCGTGTTGACACATTTTTTTCTCTTATAAGTCCAGCAATGTAATTTTTGTGTGTATTTTGAAAGAAATAATATATTTATATTCACTTTTAACATATTCGTTTCTTTAATCATCCTCGTCTGGGATCGTTGGCATAGAGCCAAACTATCGCATTCTACAGTGACATTTACGTGTACGTAGAGAAAATAATTTCTAAATTTTAAGTCAATTAAGTTACCCGTTTTTCGGTGAAATTTTAGATTTCTCTTCGCGACAAAATTGGCCTTCAAAAGATTGCATTTCAAGTCAATATATAATCTCAAATATTATTTTTACAAATAATTCTCACCACCAACGTATTTGTAAGGCGATGCAAGTGGCGTATACATTTAAATACATTTAAAAGAACTTTTGAAAGAGTAGTTGAAATCATTATTATTACATTTAGGAAAGGTTATGTATTGATTTATACAAGTTCTACAAAACCATTTTAATTATCGCACAGGGGGTTAAAATCAACGTTTATATATTAAATGATTCTGACGTTTTACTATTTTCTAACGCATGTGAACTAAATTTTTGTAGCGCGTGAGAACAAACGTCTAAGAATACTAATTGCTTTTGGGCCCTATGATTGTGATTGCCTGAAGTCAATCAATCTCACGATCTACCATCATTTTCGTTGCAATCTGCGCTCCGCTTGATATTGCCTAAAATATTCGTAAATTCCCCTAACACGGAAAGATCTTCGGAGAATACAGATCGAAAACCGTGTCCATTTCTGTAATTGTTCTTGTCCTGACGCCGCTTGATCCGACAACACATGTAAAACACGTGTACATCTTGAAAAAACACTTGTAGTAAAGGACGAGAGTCTTGTAGGAAATGTTCTACTTGAAAGGACGTATGTTATTTTAGTAAACGTGCCACGTTGTACACGACAATAAATGACGGGTAATTTTGCTACGGGACTAAGGAAAATTGCAGTCACGAGTGTACGTACATTGGTCAGCTAGGGCATGGTTGAACTAGTAGAACCTAACTCAACCATGAGCTAGGGCATGTCGGTGGTCATGTTCTTATTTGCAATTA